CAAAAAAAAAAAAAAAAAGGTAAAAAGTTGGGTGTGGTGGCACACACCTGTACTCCCAGCACTCCGGGAAGCTGAGACAGGAGAATCACAGCAAGTTCAAGGCCAGCCCGAGTTACAGAGCAAGACCCTGTGTTATGGCTTTTGTCTAGATGTCCCCACAAAGCCTCATGGAGTCACAAGTGGGCTTTTTCAGTGGTGGGTGAATTTAGAGTGTGTGATTGATTCATGGTGCAATGCTAGGATTAAGGGTGCTAGGATTAAGGATATGTGATTATTAAATCAGTCCACTGATTGGTTTGGCACAGCCCTAATCCCAGTGGCCTGGATGCAATATAAGGGACAGAAAGAGGCTTGCCTTCTCCCTTGCTTGCTTTTGCTGTCTTCTGTCTGCCATGAACTGTTTCTCCCCTGCAATGTCCCTCTGCCATGCCACCCTGCCTTGGAGCCAGGTGATTATGGACTGAAACCTCTGCAAACTGTGAGAGTTAGGTATTTTGTCTCAGCAAGGAGAAAAGTAACTGAGACCCCCTGTCTCAAAACAAACAAACAGGCAGGAGATGCAGCTCAGTTGTAGCTCAATTATAGAGCATTTGCCTAGCATATGCAAGCCCCTGGGTTCAAACCCTAGTACCATAATATAAAAGAAGAAAAAAAAAGGGAAAAGAAATGAAGAAATATATCACACTAAATGACTAGAAGACTCAGTATTATAAGATGATTTATTTTCCCTAAACTAATCTGTAGATTTGACATAACTCCAGTCAAAAGTATCAGTAAAATCTACTAAGTGGGTTTAAACTTGCAATTCTCCCGCCTCAGCATTCCAAGCAGCTCGGATTTCAGGCCTTTACTACTGAGCTGAGATACTAGGGCACTTTTTTTTTTTTTAAAGAGTAGGAAAAATTTATTGAGAGAAAGAAAGCTTCTGTCTAAGAGAGACAGAAGGGGGACTGGAAAGTGGGTTACCCACCCACCCCACATTTCAAAGATTTGTTTTTTGGTACTTGGGATCGAACTCAGGTCCTCGCACTTGTGCAGCAGGCAGCAAAACCACTGAGCTAAATCCCCGGCCTTCAAAGATATTGTACACAGCAAAGCCATGTGGTGAGGCAGGTACAAAGTGGGACAAAATTATAAGACCCAATGGAAATTTACAAGGTGGGCATGAGGTGGGACAAAACCATGACCAACCAATAAGATTACAAGTACAGGGCTGGGGATTTCGAGGCCGCCTGCCTCGAAAGCGCAAGGACCTGAGTTCGATCCCTGGTACCAAAAAAAATAAAAAAAAAAGAAATTGAAATAGTGATTGTAACCTGCTGACTCTTAGATTCTTTCATTGATAAAAGGTTATCTATAAGTCTGATACTTTGTCATAAGTCTCTAGTTTCAGCTGTAAGAAGATAACAGACAGTTTGAAGAACAAATTTCACTAAGAAATATAAAACTCTAGCTGAGCTCTTATAGATTTTACCATAGTTTTTTTTCTAATGATCCATAATCATGGTCAGCCACTGGTAGAGCTGGAAACTGCCAGAAGGGGTCAGTGACTGGAGCCCCTTTTTATGTCTAGCTTTATTACTATGGCATTATTTTATACCTCTTGTGGTTATTCTTTTCTGCGGGGTGTTTAAGACCAAGTTAAAGTGAGACCTGTGTCAATCAGCCTGAACCCCCTGCTATCTATCAAGGTCAATTAAGTCTCCTCAGGCCATTACTTTGGAACCATGCATAGAGCCTCTCAGCTCCTCTATCAGTGTCAGCCGTTAGGATGGGTCACGGCCTTACTTAACCATGTTGCTTTCAGTGAAAGCATGGGAGATTTTTTCCTCTTGGTGACCCTCCTTTGGCACATGGTACATTTGTCCTCTGGTGCCCAGCTATCTCCCTGCTCAGGAGGTTGATTGACTTACCAAAGATGTAGGATCCTGTAGGAAAGGTTCCTTTGTGTCCTGGATCTTTGACCTTGAGGGGCCAGGGCCAAAATATTGGCTGTCCTCATAGCCCAGTTACCTTTCTAGTTTTGATCTCCAAACTTTAGTTGTTGAACACCCAGAAGAAAAGATCAGTGACTTAAGCATTTCAGTAGGAGCAGTGAGCTTAACTATTATAATAGTTAAGACATCAAGCACTTTTGAAGTATAAAGCACAGTTAGAGGGCTGTTATTTTTTACCAACCATGGTTGTTTTCGTAGCTGAACCCCTGTAGAATGTCAACAGACAACAGTTATATATTATAGAGAAACTTAAGATCAAGAGCCACACATAGTATTTCAGCATGACAATCATGATGACATTGTCTTTGTAACACTTACATGTCTATCTTAGTACAGAACAGTCTTTCAGTCAAACATCATCTGATCACAAGACATTAAATGACATAAAGAAAACTCTTATTTGTTATCCTTTAGTAAGACGCCATCTAAATTGGCCTATAAATGTATTTTAGGAGTTCATAATATCTAGCCTCTAATTTTAGTGTGTGACATTGTTTCAACTGTTTGGCAACTGAGCATCCACCAGGGCATTCTTGACAAACAAAGCTAATTGTTCATCATGCCAAACATCAATAATATGATCTGGTCAGGTCTGGTGGCACATGCCTGTAGTCCCAGCACTTAGGAGGCTGAGGCAGGAGATCTCTGTGAGTTCAAAGGCCAGCCTAGGCTACATAGTGAGTTCAAGGTCAGCCTCGGCTGGGAGACCCTGTTCCAAAAAACAACAAAAACAAATAAACAGATATGATAATGCTTAAGACAGTCC